AGTATTCTGTGAGTTAAACTGTCCAAATTTGTGCCATCTTTTTGTTGGTACTGTTTTTTAGTCTTTTGGTAGTTTTCGCTGTTTTCTCTGAATCTTTGCTGTTGGTTCATTTCTTTCTTAAATTGTAGCACCTAAAATAGTGATTCTAGCTGACGCCTTGCTCGTACAAAGGAGAGCTTAAGGGCTGTTGACCATGCCTTATGAGCTAGGCTCATGTTTTGCATCAAATTCACTAAAAACCTAGATCTTTCAGAAATACTGAAAGAGCTCTGTCTTAGAACACCTAGCACCCAGGGTTCAAAACACAAAACAACGGGCTCAACTCCTTGGTCTAAATCTAGCAAGCAGAGGAGTTCAGATCCAGGAAAATGCCTAACTATTGGGCAATACCTCTCTCCATAGCTCCCTCTCTTTACCTGCCACTCATTCCCAGTAGAGTGGGGTTTTCAGAACTCCCACCTAAGTAGGACGGGCAGGTGCACAGCTTTCACCAAGTAGTTATCTGAGTTTCACCAAGGACTATTAGAATAGATCTGACAGACCCAAAAGGGTGCAGTTCTGTTCAGCTGATCTGGATGATGAAAGACATGTGCATATTTAACATGTGAGTGACACAGCGCTGTTGAATATCTTGAAGGACAAGATTAGAAATCAAAAGGTTTCTGAAAAATTGAAGAAAGGGTAGAAAAAAAAAGGAGGCAATCCAGTTAGAACACATTTCAATAAGGAAAAATGCAAATTTCTACATGGCAGCAGCAGTTATCTGCTGCATAAATACAGAGAAAGGTAAATGCTAGAGGTGCTCAGAACCTGACTGGATATGGTTCTGGGCAACCTGCTCTAGCTGACCTTGCTTGAATAGGCAATTGGACCACGTAAACTCTCAGATATTCTGATATATTTCTCTCTCTATATATAAAATATTAATACATAATTTTAACAAAGTGGTGTTTCTGGATTCAAGCCTCTGCTTCAGATTAAGCAGAAGCAATATGAAAACAGGTCTCCCAGATGGCAATAAGGCCTTCACCTGTTCCTAATCTTGGCATTTCCTGCTGGGTAGACACTCCTTGCTTAGTTTGTTGTCTTCTAGGCCTTCAGGATGGCAGTCACAGACTTCCTTTGCCTGAAAGCCAAAAATCTGACAGAGGGTGTCAGAAGTGTCTGTGGCATGGGGTACATGATAATGTTCCTCCGTGAGCATCAGCCATTTATGAAAAGGTTGCCCTTGGATTCAGTGGAACTGCACTGATGAGTCGGTGCTCTGCAGTTCCCATTTCCTACCTCAGGGCCTTTAGCAGGGCTTCTAAAAGTGGACTACTATACCACCTTTATTCTTTTTGTGGATTTAACCCAAAATATCTAGGTACAGTTAGCTCGCTCCTCCTCCTAAAGGAACCTAGGGCATAATCTCCCCGGGGACATACACTGTAGTCTTTCTCTGCAGCTAATCATGTACCTACGGAATAACGGGAAGGAAGCTTATTCTGTTCTGTTGTAGCTTAAGTCTTGGATTTGAGATATGCTCTGTGGCTTCTGATACTCTGGGATTCAGTGAGTAAACCTCCCTTTTACCTATGCTGTGTGATCTTGGTGAAATTCAGCTAATTCAACTCACTGAATGATTATTTTGATGGAAAAAATAAGTGTAGGTTTTTTTCCCTTTTATCCTAATAAACCACAGCCAGGAATGATCTGTATGTGGGGATGCTCCTTGTGTGAGTGCTTCCGGCCCAGGTTGTGCATTCCCTTGCTCCATATACTTCTCAAGTCATTCCAGTTGCCTTCTGTTTACAAAATAGGTTTTGAGTGTTAAATTTCAGTTGTCCTGTTTGTGGTGTTGGTTGGTCTCTAAGTGTAGTGTGGCCAGTAAGAACAGATTTCCATGTTTTAAGCAAATGATGGCTGTTTGGCTAATGAATAAAAAGGTGAAAGGAAAGCAGCTTTGCTTGTGTTTTGGGAGAAATAACTGAATAGGCATCTGACTTTAGGAAGGAATTTAGGGGTGCACATCCCAATCAGAGAGAGGTATGGCTTAGGAGCTGTTGGAATTGAAATTAGAGTTGGAAGAACAAGGGTGAGGAATAGATGTTTGGCTTATTGTATTTCCTATTGTTCATGCTGAAGCGTGGGGGCTTCTTGGATTCTTTTCTTAAGTATTCAATTACAGCATGTATTTTTCAGCAGAAAAGCAAGTTCTCATCCTAGATCTTTCTCCAGAACACAAACATCATACAACAACAACCCAAAAGGTGGTACTAACAAATTACAAGTCTTGCTTTTCATGTAAAATATTTTGAGACTTTATTTTGAGATGTACTGACTCAGAGAGCTGTCAGAGACTGCTTTTGTGAATGTAAGAAACTTACCTTCAAAGAATCCTTGGGAAATTATTGCTGGGGGGGGAAGCACTGTGTATTCATTAAAAATTTTTAGTAACATAACAAAAGCAATCAGCCTGTAAATTAGCCAGTTACAAATAATTAACTGAGTGTTGTGAAGGCTTTTCAAGTGAAGGAAGGAGTTTAAATTAGAGGACAAACAGAAGAGTTTTGAAGCTACTTTCAGTTTTGAATATGCAATGTAACTGAGAACTTAAATACTAGTTTCCAGGTAAAGGTACCAAGTTTGTGTGTCTCTTGCTTGGACTGTCAGTAGAACTGCAGATTCAGTGCGTCCTCTGAAGTCAGAGGACAAGAAGCTTAACTGTGCAAGAGCAAACTTAAGAACAGGTAGTAGCTGGCAAGCCCATGATCAGAGGAATGGCCACAGGTCTTCTATTGAAAACTTCCTTCCAAAATGTGTTTTTGTTTACTTTTTTTCCTAAGACTAGCTCTTTTATTACTTCAGTCAGTGGGATGGTGACTTCAGTTCTGCTGTAGCCTTCTCTCAGCAAAACAAATGCCTTTGTTCAACTGAGAAATAATTGAGAAACTTCTTAAAGGTATTGTGGTAGCAAGAGAGATTTAAAAGAAAGGATGGCACCTCTGTCCAGAGTGTAAAAATGGCATTCGTGATGAAAGGGCAGCATGAAAACTTCTGAGTGATAAATGAACATATATCATCATATGCAAGGATAAATACAGCTCATGACAATCTTAACTAGACTTTGAAAGGCATCAGCAAAGTTAGTGAACTGATTCAAAGAGGAGAGGGTTTAAAAATGTTGCCCGCAGGACTTTGGGATGGTCTCCTGCATAGGCCAATACAGAGTACATATCTCCAAAAAGAGTAAGTAACATTAAAATTAGAAACAATACAGTATCAGTTGATGTGTTATGGCCTCTTGAGTTTGGGATCTGAGACAGTAATAACAATATTACTTCTTAGGCTTAATTTTATGTATTTTACTTTGCTATGGAACTTAGATCTTTATCTAAAAGATAATTTTGTCAGCAAAGATATCTTCTACATTAGTAATCTCTATCTTGCCGACTGGAGCGCTATTGTTAAAATTCAGTCTGTCCTAATGTATCACTGGATCAACTGTTTTGCTGGCAGGGTATGCATTACCTATATGGCTCTGCCAATCATCCTACAAGGGCCTGACCTGTTGTTGCTGCTTTGTCACAATCTTTCATAGTATAGTTTTATACTGGTCTCATGCTGCTAGCCTCCCAGAAGTTAAACACTTCCAGAGACATCTGGATACACCAAGAGACCAAGTCACCTCACGTATGATTTTTACGTGATGGCTGGCTATATTCCATGTAACAGAACGTGCTCAGTCACTACTAAGTTGGAGACCTTAGAGGAAGAGGAAATGGCTAGAGAAGAATATCATCTTGGTTCTTGATGGAATCAGAGGGAGCTAGAAAATAGCTAGGAAAAAAATGTATATGTAAACATGGTTCAGGTCCTGACAACTGCAGACATGACAAAGTATCCTACCCTAGAAACTACTGCACTAAGGAACTAACTTATAAAGTTAAGTACTCCATCCCATGCATCCTTAATTCTAAATGCCAGCTTGAGCCATACCACAGTGTTACTGGCACTCAACCACTGTAGGTAACATCTGTGTTGCACTTTCATGCTGGCCTGCATTTCCTGTGGGAGGCAGCAACTATATTTCATTTTCCTATGGGTTTGCTTTTCAGGAAGGCGTACTATTTATTCAGAAGAAGAGTAATTTTTTTTTTTTTAAATTCTACCTTACCCAAGAGATTTGCCCCCTCTACACCTTTTCAGCTCAACATCTAGTCACCACACCCCACTCAACAGCCCCAAGCATTTGCTAAGCAAAGAATTACAGGCTGACTTATGGTCAGCTAAGGAACGTAGGCTGCTTTGTCCACTCAGCTGCCATTTTTGGTTAAGGTCCATAGAAGAAACTGACTGAAATAAGTGAGAACAGACAGGTGATCGCCTCAGTAGCAGTTCACTTGCACTGTGAGCAGGGCAAAAGTGTCCTCTGCTGCCATATGGCAGTTATGCATCTAGGACACAGCACTGCCAAGAAGGTACATGTACACTTTTATGAAAGCATAACATTGTCACAAATGGTTCTACCTCTTAGCACTATCTAATATCGGACTGAGTTCTAGGGTCATCTCCTTCAAAAATAGGTCATCCTGCAGTCAAGCAGAAATCTTGTGTTTTTGATAGTTGGTCATAGCAATGCTTAAGAGTGATGAGAAGTAGACTTATTAATCTTGATGAACAGCTAGCAGCAGAACAAATGACTTTAGTCAAGATTCCTATTTTCTTGCATTTTTTTGCCCCACTTTGAAAGCAAGAGACTGTGCTAGACTGACAGCGCCAACTTTTTTAAGGGAGTAGTAAGTGGTTGATTATGCTACTTACACTGCTGTAGTGCTGTTACCTACGTTATTTGCATCTTTTTTATCTGAAATAAGATAGGTCTGAAGACATACCACAGTATTACACATTGATTTTTATCAGTACAACCTTGTGTTTATAACTGTGTGTGCAGAGCAGGTAGATCCTTAAGGCACATAGATTTAGGTGAAACTGCAGTTTACCTGAACCCAGGCACATAAACAAAAAAATTTTATTAGACTGTTTCATATAGCACCACACAAAAGGTACGCTGTGCTGTGTTGCCCTTAAAGAACATGCCAAAAAACTTTCAAACTAGAAAAATTAGAGAAGTCATCCTGAAAGAGCCACAGGTTTTGTACATAATGTTTTAATGGTCCTCCAGGCAGATTAGCATTGTTCCCATATGCATTAGTACTCTCAGCTTCTGGGTTTTGAGCTTTGCTCAAAAAAAAGTCACACAGGCCAAGATGACCAGCTGTGCTTTCAGGGAAAAAGATTCACTTCAGAACTTCTACCGGTAAGTTCAGCTGACAACATTACTAGACAGCTGCTAAATTTTGTTTCTTGAAAAAAGCAACTTAATCTTGATTAATGGTAATAATGTGAATTTGAGCTCTACAAATCAACCCCAGGCAAATTAAGAAAGGTTTGGAATCAGCTCTTAATTCTGCCTTGTGTTCAAAAAGAAAGAAACACAGAATAATACTTTGCAAAATTACAGATAAATAGTATCATAGAAGAAAGATGGGTGACTTTGAAGGGTCATTTCGCCCATCCGCTGTTTCAGTACAGACTGAAAATATTTCCAAGATAAGGTGCTAAAGCATTTATCGACTTGTCACACTTTTTACATAGCTAGACCCTTGAACTGTACTCTGTTTCTTAGCCTGAGTTGTTCAGGTTAAGTTTTGTATATTAACTATTACACTATTAGGCTTACGTTACATAAGCTTCTTTTTTGTTCTTTCTATATTTGAGGTAAAGTGGCAATATTTTTATTTTGCCTGAATATGGAACACACATGTTTCAGAACATCCTTTATTCAATGCATTTTGGAGATAGAGAAAGGCTAGTTATTTGCATAAAGGGAACCTTAGCAAGTCAACACTATTGAGAGAGCTGTGGTCAAACAGAAGTGTGGAATGGACCCAGTGCTAACACACATAAAGAGAGTACTGAAAAACTTCTAGGCTTCCAGCTTCACTGACTCCAGTATGGAACGTGCTTCTTTATACTCTTCAGCTTCTTCCAATTCCTTTTCATTTTCCTGGAATTAAAAAGAGCTTTTGAGTACTTCAGTAATAACTGACATGTGACTAAACATAAGGAGGAAACCATAGGGGGGGGGGAAAAAAAAAGGTTATTTCAAAATTGAGAATACTAGATTTACATGATTCAAAGCACAGGTTTAAGGTCCAGTATTAGAGCAGTCATGTGAGTAGACCCTATATCTAACTTTATTCTATTAAATACTTAAAAACAAGTACATCAGAATTGGAATCAATGACAATAGTACTCTTGTTCTGAATTCTGTTAGGAAAAAGCTTAAGCAGAGATTAACAATTACAAAAAACTGAAGTTTGTATTAATAAAAAAAAATTAAAGGTAAGCTAAGAACAGAAAGCAAGTCTGCTGCAAGAAAGCAAGTCTTTTAGACTTCTGAATTCTTGAAAATAATTGTAACCTCCCCACACAAGCGTTTCTCACTTCAGGTTTGCATCCCATGCTGTACAGATGAATAACATCAAGTATAAATCACTTCTTCATCCCACTGAAGTCTAAACCAGCTAACTGTCAAGAGACAAGTTTTCTAAATGACAAAAGGAGCCCAATCCTGCCAAGTACTAAGTGTCTATTTTGGAAGACCCTAGGAGTGCATCACCTGAGGACAAAAGAAGTTGAATTTTCCTTTGAAAGGAGAGTCTTAACTGATCAATGTTACATGTTAGTGGTTATGTGTCAGAGGCTTAACTTAGTGTGTAGTACTAGCTTCACAGTAACATTTACATCTGTAACAAGAGTTCTTGGTGATAATACAGCTTTTAAAGTGAGCATGATAATCTCCAAACTTAATTTACTTTCCATGAAACTATTTGTACAAGATAGTATTTATTCCTGCAAGTAATTCATAGTGTAAAAATTGAGCAGTAATGCCCACCTCATTAATAAATCATATAAGCATTACTCAGGCAAGGACTTTTGCTGTGTTTTTGCTTGATTACAGCAAAATAACTGTTAAGCACGGTATTTTGAATATTTCAGGTCACTACAAGCGTATTGTATATGTCCTCACAAACTAGAAAAACTATCTAAAGCAGGTAAACCATTTTATCTGATTGTATAACTAGCACAGGTATTCAGAGTCAGCTCAGTACTTAAGTGTATGTTAGGTATACATTCCATTAAAGACCATTTCTAATATTCTAACACATACAATTTTTGTATGCTACAGACCAAGTTTGCATAGACAGCTGAAATGGAATACAGGTATGTTATAGGGGTGTGCCAGTCTTCAGACCTGTAAGTAATTCTTCAGTCAAGTTCTGTTATGCTGCAATTACACTGCAGGCTAAACACGTTTGTACAGTTTCACCACAGAAAGAACACTTCATTATGTGCAGTGTTTAGTATTATTTGATAAACACTTTTTGGTGCAATACTTACTAATAGTTGAGAAAGATCTGCGTGTGCAACTTCTAATCTGCGCTGGCAGTCTGGAATCATCATTCGTGATTCTTGCAAGATCTCGATCTGTGAAAATTGTAAGCCCATGAAATGAAAATGTATTCCAGATCAAAATTTTACTTTTAAAAAGTAAAATACAGTCTTTACTCTGAAAAATCAGTAGCCCAGTCATCATCTAGGAACTTCAGAACAGTTGCATGTTTTCTGAATAGGCTTTTTATTAAAATGCACTGACTTAGTCATAATTGCTTAAAATTCTGTTCATGTATATTAAGAAAGATATTACAAGACATTTTCATTTCCTCTGTGTTTAATTAAATACAAGTTATTAAGTGGAGAAAAAGTGTTTAGACTAATTTTTGCCCTTAGAAAGAAAGAGTACTGCCTGGTAAGGTTTCCATACAACATTTGTTAAAAAACACTATTTAGAACAAACTTTCTCCTGCTGTCATGAAGCAGCTTCATCCAAAATGGGATCAGCTGGTTATATAAATATCCCCTGCATCTTTTGGGTAATAAAGAAAAACAGTGTTCAGATAATACCACATAGAGATAATTACTGCATGAAAAAAGTTATTGAGTTATTGATCACATTGCGTGCACACTGCAGGAGGCTCTGAGTGAAAGACAAAGGTAAAGAAAAATGAAAAGCAAAGACCAGCAGGCTCATATTTTTGATGCTTATCATGCATAAAAAGTTATTACTTATCCTTGTGCTTCATTTTAGGAGAAAGATTATTCTCACCATGCACTTTGAACAAAATTACTAAACTGGGCACCCCACTGAATCTGAACATCCTGCCTCCACCTACAGAAAACAACTTCAGATTTATATGAGGGAACACTTATTTCATGGAACATTTCTGGACCTGAAATCCATCCACTGAAAAGAAAAGGTGTGCACACTTGTTCAGTAATGTTAAATCTATGTAGAAATTAAAGTCAGTTAGATATGAAAGTACAAAATCTCTTCCGCATTCAGGATAACCTGCAACAGAATTTTACTTTAAATGGTCGCACTATATTCTGTCATTCCTATGTTGCATCTTCCTTTCAGTGTTAATGCTGTAGTGTTTGGAAGTACTGAAGGGAACGCTAATCTCTAGAGGGAGGATGAGCCATGACTAAGAATTTATTTATGCATACAGGAAGTCCTTTTGTAGTAAACATTATCATCATGCATTTAAGCGTCATTGCTCAAGTTCTCAGTTCAAGCCATTTTTGAGAGAATTTGCTATTTTGGTTTCTGACTTCATTTCAGGGAACCTAAGCCAAAACCCATCTACTTTAATGAAGCAAGATAGGTAACAGATGCTTAAAAAAAAAAAAAGTTAGGCACCCACAAGTTCCAGTTCTCAACAGCATTATCACTTTTCTTTAAGCATTCAGTATTAGACTATATTAAAAATAAATTAATCACTCTGCATATTTCACTGTCAGCAGCAAATGAATAAAGGTTTGTAACTTCCATCAAATATAGTGCACCATAAACTGCATGAGATGATGCTTCTGCCTTATGTACTGCTACTTCATTCTATAAAGAATACCTACAGGGCTGAGAATATCAATACTGACTTCCCTGGGCTGGTACTGCTAACAAGTTAGGCACTGTGAGGCTGGTGGCTTACGTGGAAAGCAGTAATTCATTTTACATATGCGATCGCTAAGCTCTCTAGGAAGGGAAGAAGTATAACTTGGAATCTGCAAGCTGTAGTCCTGGCTTCTGCAAGAAAAGAACATAAGACTACCCAAATCACTCAATTTGAAATAGAATTTGACTGAGATCTGAAGGGCTACCTGAGTTTTACTTACATTTGCCTGCCGTTATGCAATACTAAATAAAAATCAGAAGAAAGTTAAATCTTAGAACCTCTACACACAGTAGGTGCAAACAGCTGGAGAACAGGAGTGGTTAGAACAGGGCAACAGTAAATACTGAACTAGCTACTCAGATTTTGATAACTTTTGCATAAATACCTTTTTCAAATAATCTTCTTTAACAAAATAATCCCAGATAGATCATTTACTTTTACAAATGTATATAATAATGCAAAGTCAAAAGCTTGAACAATTACATAAGCTTTAAGATTGGAATTTGAAAAAAGCATTGGCTCTCCAAAGTCTATGAAAATTAAACAGCAAACCTACTCCCCTTTCCCAACATACTCTAGAAACTTTCTGGCTGAATTCTAAGCAGTTTAACTTACTTATAAGCAGGTCACTGAGAAAGTTATTATGTGAGAATGATCTAACTTTGGAAAGAACCATAAATATCTTCAAGGTTACTGTGAATTACAATGCCAAATAAAAGTATTAAACACTGGAATAACTGAAGTGCATCTAAATAAAGTGTTGAGATAAAAGCAGTAAAGCACAAAAATATATACAAAGACAAGCAAATTGGATTTGTTGTCAATAAGTGCACACAGGACCAGAAGACTTATTGTGACTACAATGAGGATGACATCCCAGTTCTTTTATATGTATTGAAAAAGCCAGTATAACAAATCTCTTCAAACAGCCAAATTGCCGGTCAATTGTCTCTCTGTATTGAAGGTATTTCTACTAAGAAGCCTTTCAAAAGAAAGTAGTCTGCTCATCTTTGATGGAGGTCTTTAATTGTTGGCGTATATATAACCTATTTACCTAGGATCAGATGTCAAAGAACTGGTGTCTGTAATACGCTATCAATAGCCTTCAGCCTGTTTCCCATACATTTCAGATTGCATTGACAGATAAAGCTGAATAGCAAAGCCAGATGCAAATATACAGATCCACCTACCAGTTGCTTAAGTGGAAGGGCACCATACCAAAAAATCAATTTTACACATTCAGAATAAGCCCAAAGGCCGAACACAACCCTGCAAGAAACAGCTGAGGAGGTAACGCCTGAGGTGTAAGCAACTCAAGATTTTAGCAGGTCCCACAGTAACAAAAGTTCAAAGCCACTATTTCAACTTAACAGGGCAGAACGGAGCTGTTCAAAGGAGGCAGATTCTCTAATTTAGGATCATCCAAGCACTTACGTTATAGTAAAACAACAAATTTTGATACTTTAAGAATATGCTTAGAACAGAAATAAATACTGCTGCTTAAGAGCATCAGTATCAAGTATTCTGCAGCAGGAAGCAATTTCATTCAGCCTAACTGACATGTACTGTATAGCAGGGACAACAGAGTTTGATCAGCTTCAACAAAAAAAATGGAAGCAGAGTTTTTTCAGCTGACCCAAAACTAAACAAACGATTTTTAAAAGTTTTAATCCGAAAACAACAATAAGAAAACCTCCATAAGGCGGTCTGTCATCCCTTTATCTTAGAAGAAGGATAGCCTAATAAACAACTGGGTCATAGGGTGTATTGACAGTATTGCTTCACATGACAGGACTGGCATTCTAGCCACAAAAGATCGGCTAAGAAAAATTAGATTTGTGAATCAGTGTGTGTGTATCTTTCTTTTATACATGTATACATATACATATATTCACACACATACACACACACAAATATATTGAAATAAAAAAGGTTCTTTCTTGGAAGTGAGCCAGACTAAATCACCAGAGTTTCAGCATGGGACTGTGAGATGGTAATTAAAATGAGGTGCTTTTAAATACTGCCACATAACCGGTTGCCCTTTGACTGTTGCGCAACTGAAAATAGATAATCATGACACGGGTTCTCCTTACGGACTGGCAGGGCAAAATTACAAACTCAAAGACAGCAGGGAAAAAAAAAGAAAAAAACAACATGCAAATAATTCAGTTTAAGAAAAGTGCTGTTTGTTCAAACTACTTTTCACCAGAAAGCTTATAAAACACTTGGAATCTGTTGACCGGTTACAGCTACATTTGACAGAATGGCCGAGACCCAAAAGAAAAATGACATCTCTAAGTATCATGAATACCAATGGTTCCAAAATTCATAAGCGTACTAAAGAAAAGACTGTAGCACAATGTAAACAGTAATGTTAGGGCTGCTGGTTGGCTAATCAGCCTATTTATAATTTATAGCCGCAACATGGTATTATTTCTCACCCCAGTGGTAAACAGGGCACATAAAGGCATCATGCAAGGGTGGAGGTGGAGGCAAGAAGGGGAGGATGAAGGGAGTAGGAAGATGTAGGGGCAGTGAGAGAAAGCTGCGTATAGGAAAGACAGGAGATCATAGGAGATGCGATACTAAGCTGAAGTTATTGTAACTACTGGGGAGAGGGAGATATAGAGGAAAAAAAAAAACCAAACCACAGGAAACCAGGTTTTGTTAGTTCCACTTCCTATGAGGCAACTTGCTTGCTTTACAATTGACAGGACCAAAAGAGGCTCAAGTTATCCACAAATACAGGATGCAAGAAACCACTGCAGCCTGTTGCACGAGTTCTTTGCCAAATGTATTGATCAAAACGCTTCTGAAGGACCATGAAGAAAAGCTTACAGGAAAAAAATGGAGCACATGATCTCTTTTCTATGGTACTTGAATGTTTTAGGCACTGAAATGGCCATGTATCAACCACAAACTAACTACATTTGTAGCAAGAAACATGAAAGAAGAAAATTCACTAGATCTAAATGCCTCATTATTTCAAATTTGAGCTTTCTCTGTAACTCCTCTTAGGTGAGGGCCAATCCAGTTTCTTCTATAGCAGATCACCTTAGGAGGTACAAGGCAGAAAGGTACCCTTTGGTCTTTCTGGACAATAGTTGGTCACTGTCTGTTTTCTGCTAACACACAACTGTAAGGTTTTCTTCATCGTCAGCTGTAGGTGAGGAGACGGACAGAGGACTTGAAGCTCAAAAACAGATACTGCTCACAGGACAGAAGCAAAACTCAGTGTCCCCCATGCAAAAATTTTTGAATTAAATAATTTGTATAATAAACTACAGATGCTGCTCCTTTAATATTAACTTGCAGAATGATAATGGAATTATCAATTATAGAGAGTTGTCATTTAATCTACAGGCAGCACATTCCTCTAGCAGCTCTCAAGAGTCTACCTGATCGTTCATGTTGATGCGAGTATGAACCTCACCATGTAAACGGATCCATGCTTAATGTAATGCTAAAAGTGGGCTGATTAGGAAAGGTTTTAGAATAAACTTGAAGGTTTGGGGGGAATCTCCATTTTATGGAAGCAAAATACCTGGGGAAATATCTCTGCCAGAACTGGAAGCAGAACAGACTTAGCAGAGTAGTCCCCCAGTCAGACATGAGCCAGAAAAGTCAAGTCCAGACTTTTCCCCCCTGTAGAGCAGAGGAAAAGTGAGCACAGTTGAAAAATAAATGAATCCTCTCTCATCTCACTGGCAAATCTTTCTACTGAAAGAATGTTCTCATACTAACTTACTCCAGATATTGCACAAATGTCTCAAATCTTCGGTATAGAATCTGGGATACAAAGAGGTATTTATATCTGACTGGGGAGAGGGAGGGAAGGGGAAAGGAAGGAGGGAAAAACAGCTTTTGGAAAACAGAAGGGGAAAAAGGTAACAGCAATGATTTGTCATCAATCGCTCCCTTTCAGAACGCACATTAGGCAATTAACCCAAGGTGAAAGCCTTTCAGTACCACCTCTATGTCAGGAATATTACTCTGTAGTTAATTCAGAGAACTCCAGGTTGCTAAGCTTTTAAAGAGACAAACCTGTACTTCTTAAGGATACTCTCCAAATACATAAAGGGGAGCATCAGACTCCCTGTTAGCATTTCCACTGCCTCTTCACCTAAACAGCTAGAGCTACAGAGTTCAGATTATTAAGCAGAGGTCATCTATTCTTAGAGAAAACCTAGAGTTACGAACGCAAACAGACTGCAATGAAACTAGATGTTTCACCTAATCTTACTGTACTTGATTTGTAAGAAGACTGAGAACTTTGAGTTTCAACTGATAGGGTGGAGGATGGAAAGAGTTAAAGATTGAAAAACTCAACTGAGGTAACTAGGGTACTTCTTCAATGCTTAAACATTTACAATGAAAAAGTTACTGAGCATTCCAGTGTTCCAGTAATAAGATACGTAGCTCACTTTGATCTTCCACACTAATTTTCCTAAAACAATATAAATTATTTCCAGCTGTATTTCCTTTTTAGCTGTTTCAGAAAACATTCTACCTCCCAACTCAACAAAGTAAGAGAAATACCTGACTTTTCTGCTAATAATTGCAAGAAAAAACTGTATTATAAAGATTGTATGTACTCAATAGCATGCAGATACTAAATTCTGTGTAAAATTCATTAGATTTTTTACTTCATTTGGGAATGACATTACATGAGAAGTAATTTAGAATTGTAGGATAGCTATTAAACAAAAAAAAAAAATCAATCCTTTATCAGTAAAAACACTGATAGTTAACTGAAACTCCGCAGTAGATGCACAACCTCACTGAGGTGAAGCAAAGAGTTGATACCTCAGACTTGTCCCACACTCAAGACTACTGAAGATAAATGCATTAGATTGTAAAGGACAATCATTAAATTCAGGACAAATCAAAAGCCACAGAAACACAAAAACTACTGGTTCTTACCATTAATCTGCACTCATGGATGACTAGAGTGTGAGAAGTTTTTATTACAGATAAAATATCGTGAAAATATAAAATGATGTGTAAAGTCTTCATATATTAAGAATCATTGGAACTGTGTAGAAAATAAGGCTTCATTACTAAAAAATCCACGCTGAAATACAACTGCATTACTTGCTGGAACCAGTCATGGGTTTTTTGTGACTCTTTGCAGAAATTATATCCAGCATTTATACAGAATTAAAATGCTTAATGACCTTTTTTTTTCTTAAAAGCCTTTTGGTTGAAGATAGTGTTATTTTGAGTTATAAAATTTATGAAAATCTTTTCTTTCATTGTATTTTCTAAATATCGCTCTTTATGTTTTTCTTCCAATGTGGCTCAAATAAAACTGTAATAAAAACTTTCCCTGAATTTCTAAATCTCTCATCTGCATTTTGTAAGCAAAACCAGATGGTAAAAGTTTTTTTTTTTTTCTTTTTAATGAACTATAAGTGATGAAAAAGTTAGGGCTTTCCCAACTGATGAGGCTAGCGATTCCCATCCTTGGTAACACAGTCTACCACACACATATAGCAGTTCTGACAGCAAAACTGTCATTTTTGTTTCTCTGAGATAAATCTGCTCTTCATGAAACAAGTTTTCCCAGACAGTGCAGGCTGGAGGCTTGGATGTAACTACTGCCAACAACCCTAGCAGGTCACTGCTACAGCTAGAGACCTCCTGAATTCCCAGGAACCGCCAGCTGCCCCCATTCTGTAAGATGTTAGGGGGAAAATACCAAGTCTAACCCTTACTATTGTTCTACAAGGGGGACTCATCCTTTCTCCTTACAGACCAGACACAAAGTAAAGCTACTAATATCATAGTAACAGTATTAATCATGTTGAAATACAAGTTTTTTTGGTCACTTCTGCACTGTTAATCCATATATTCTGCAGAGTTGCAACTAAAGAACTAAATGAGAAAAAGCACACTAAAAAGCTTTAAAGCACCCCTCCCTCAACTGTGGATTGATCTGTATTTACAAAGCTGATTTCCTACCTCAGCTAAAAAATATTTTTAAAGTTATTATCTTAGTCTCAAAGGATTGAATCTATTCCCCTTCTCAAATGATATTTTTCATTACTGAAATAAAGACTATAAACATATTTTAAAATAAACAATTATTCAGATTAGGAATTGTTAACTAAAAGCAATTATTAAAATGTATAACTACAGATAATTTTCCTGAAGAACTCTTAGAAATATTATGTCCATCCAAAACTTGGTTTTGAGCAAAATGGTTTTGCCATTGTATAATTTTCTTTAGTGTAAAAGATTTGATCCTGTGACAACTGTGCATGTTCTTTCTGAGCCTCTGAGTTCATCACAACTTAAAATATTTACAACTTTCAGAAGGCAAAGTAAAGTGTGCTAAAGAACAATAAATAAAGATGTCATTGGAGGAATTAATTGCTTTCAGAATGAATTCAGGCAGTTTCTGAATGAACTGGGACTGTTCACTTAGAAGGCTTTTGCCACTGTTCTCTCTGAAAAAATCCTCAAATAGTACATTACAATTCTTTTCACAGCAAAAGTTCACAGCCTCTGCTGTTCTTGACTTTGGTGATTTTTTGCATGTCAGTGAGGAAAACCGCACAGTCAAATAGCCAGATGAATGGGGGACACTGAAAATGGGGATTGCATTCATTAGTTCTTGTTAGCATCAGCAGATCTTCAGAAAGACTACTATTTTTGCAGCATCTTGGAGTCAGCCAGCAATCAGGTGGAAACAGCTCAGCTCTATAAATACAGTGTTTTCTGCAAATTCTACATTTGTATTTCTTTCCCATGTTATAATGAAAGCAAGACAGGCCATGCACACATGGATTGCAAACTGGATTTATTCAGGAATTTGTTTTAGCTTCTTCTTAACTTGTTTTTGTTAGCTTTTACAGTCAGGTTTTCTTTAACCTATTCTTCTGTTGTTCCACTGTTTCTATGAAGATTTAAGTGACTATATCTGGGAAATGCTTGTCGGGGGAAAAGTATGGTTAAAGGTTAACAAATTTACTTGGGGAAAAAAAAAAAAGATCACAAACTCGGAGAAGCCACACTTCTATAAAGAATATAAGCAAACCTCCCAAATCTAAGCCTTCTTTCAGTGACAAGGAAACTTGACGCTCCCTCTCCTTCCCAAAGGGCATGTGCCAACTTCCTGCAACCACTGTCCTTTGTGGGGAACCTAGCAAGAAAAATTCCACCGTACTGTAACTGTGACTCTAAATCAACCTTTTGAGCGCATGAAACTACAAGCATGCACACTTCTAGCTAGTGACCCCCACTAGAGCTAGTAACTCTAACAGCTGTTAGGAGTTAACCTACTGCTCTCTGGGCTAGATGCCTATGATTTTTACCAAACACATGCATACTCGGAGTTTATGTTTCCTCTTCCTACTAGCTAACAGGCACTCTAAATGTCATGGTAACATTCATACTTACCACCAAGCACTTAATTGACCGAAATTATCTAGAACAGTTCTTTTCAGGTTCTCAGCATTTTTAAGAAATAGAGTTCGTGATGGCCTCCTACTCAATGTTAGTGATAGCCATCCTGACACCAAGTGCTTAATAATCCATGTCCAATCTCCATATAATTTAATGCTTCTGGAGGAAAATAACTTTCTACCAATGCAAGTTATGACTTTTACAGTTAACAGAACTTTTAGTCTAGTATTTATATAACAGGAGTCTGGAAAGAGGTACAGGATAGTCTCTTATTTAAGGATGACTATGATTAAAACAAAGCAAAGAGGCAAAGAAAACAAATTTTAGGATAGTTTACCTGCTTCTTAATTCCATAATCATCACATGCTTCAGCTTTCATTTTTTCAATCTTTTCTTCTTGCTGTTTTGCTTCTTTTTCATACATAACTTTTTCTTTTGCCAGTCTGCAATTAAACCAAGTGATTGTGTTAATCTGTTATGGTAAAAAGTTACACCACTGATAACAAAAAAAAAAAAAATCCCTGAAAGCTGCAGCCCTAGAAGATATGAGTTTTACAAAGAAAGGCTTTTTAACGCTTCAAAGAACTGTATCTAAGAAATGCTGAATTTATATATTACATATAATAGTTCTTGTAAGAATATTTTCAATATTTTTATTGTAAAGGTTCTGTGGAGGCTTATTCATCTAGAATATCCTAAAAAAAAAAAAAAAAAGCTGTATCTTGGTACTTCATTTCAAATACGTAACAGAAACAGAAAAGAGGTTGCCTTCTAGATCTGGATGACAGCTAATAAAGGAGAAAGCGATCTTTGTATCTGAAAAAAAAAAAAAAAACCACCCCACACATCACAGGTAGCTGAAACAAACTTAATATTAAGATGTCTGCCAAGGCAACATTGTTATCGTTAGCTTTTAGATCAGTATTTGTCAGATCTTCTCAATATCATCCAGGTTCTGATAGCTTTGAACCTACTGAATAATGCCACTGCACCAAGTACAACACCTTAGATGAAAAATGATGCTAAGGTGGCATCCTTCTTAATAGTAAGTTTGAAAAAGGTATCACGTTCAAATGAAAAGAAACAAGTTTCAGGCTCACAAGTTAACAATCCCAAAATATTTTTTCCTGATTAAACACAATATGATGCCATTAAACACAGTATTTCACATACTAGCTTGGCACAAAATACTAAAAAGTAAATTTCCCAAATAACATGGTAGCCTCATAGCCCGAAAGTCCTTAGAGTACTTGCTGTATTTATGTTGATGGTGGTTTTGGAGTTACAGACTAAAGTAGTATTTCCATAATTTATCTAATAGTGATTTTTTATGGCCTATTTTTCAAAGGGAAAGAAATCTGAATTTTAATCCTAATGATGGAACCATATTTGGAAGCAGAATGCTTTTTGCTAGCAAGTGTACGTTCAAGAGTAATGTATTTTTTTCTACTTTTCCTGTATTTCCTATAGAGAAGAACTCAGCATGCAGCTAATAAAATGTACAACAAATTTCTGTCACCACTGAGAAAAAGTAAAACTAAAATTTGCTTTGAAAGTAATGTTTGAGGTTATTAAGGAAATGCAGATCCTGAATGCCTATTAAAATGAATAAGCTAAGAAAATCTGTAGGTCTTAAAACATGGATAAAAGCACCAATGAAGTTCCGTCTCATGAGACTAACAGGATTTTATCTGACTTCAATATGCAAAGCAATTTCAGTTACAGATGCAAAGTGAAGGTTTTTCACAGGTTCAATCAAATACAACAATCGATAAACATCAAAAATTCTGATGGTTGGAAGGGAACATTAAGGTAGTCTAGACTGATGCTCTGTAGTAGTTTTTACATAGTAATTCCATTATCAAGCTCAGTTATTTGTGGTTACTGCAATTTTGCTATTACATCTCCCATTTTTTTAGGTATATGTTCATATATATGCTGGATTGCATAATGCCAGATTCAGACCAAAACATCCTTCCAGATCTGGAGACTGATAAAGTAATTCCTGACTGGCCCATTCAAGACAAAAATGAACACTGAGATTCTCAGGCAAACCCGAGAGCTCGCCAAAGAAAATCTTTCCCCTAACAAGAACAAGCATCAGATTAGATAAGATTGTTTAAGTAGGAGTACTTATCAGCCAAAAGAACATAACCAGATCCAAGAAGCAAAGAATGTATTATACAAATGAAAAGAGAATAAATAAAGGTCTTGTAGAGAGCTTCATGGTCACGTTAGCGCATCAGAGCAAATTAATTCCTAATTTGTCACAGTTAAGTGCTCCACTAGAAGTGCTGCTGAGGATGGACAGTTCAGAACAGTGCTGGGATGATAAGAACCTTTTGTGAACTAAAACTGCAATAGAAGGAGCACCCCAGTAATGCCTTGAGAACAATTCCTAGAGCATGTTCTAGTACCGTAATAGCAGGTACTCTTTCCTGCATTTGACAGTTCATATCATCCAAAATTGTTTTGCCCAAATAGCTTCATGCTGTGGTTCCGCAAGAGTGGATCAAAGCTGGGCGGTGGCGACACTCGCTCAAACTAGTGCAAAAAGCTGTGGAGTCCCAACCTCAGAGGGGGTCTGCAGCTCTACAGAGAGGCCGCGTCAGTGGAGCGTTTGCAACGTAGGTAGCACCTCGGCAGTTTCTAGAAGGCAGCCAAGTACTAGCTTTGAAAAGTAATACTAAGGAAAGACAGCAGCCTAATTACTACTAATAAAGACACTAAATCAGTGGCTATAATTTCAGGTACTGGAACTAGCTCTAGTATTAGCATCAAAAAATATTGATTTAATAGAGGATGAGTTAATTGTTTGATCAAGATCGCTTGATTTAATTTCACATAGTATTACTTGCTTTGCTATTTTTAGGTTCCCAAAAAAAGTTAACTTTAATCAACCAGTGAGACAACTGATTTTTTGAATGAGGAGAGCAAATTCCATTATGGGTATATGTATTGGGGCGGGGGGGCGGGGGGCGGGAATATGATTAAAAGCTTTTTTTTTTTTTTAAATGTTCATTCACTTATTAAAACGTGTAAACTATTAAAACTAAAGATGACTTGCATCACTAAAACTAGCATTTGGGATTATTTTCATTTTTAGCTGAAATAAAAACCATAGTATGTATGTCATTACTTATGTTTTCGCATTGTATTTTCATAATCACATCTCCTTCTCGTCATGCTAACTTTTCAAACTGACTGCCCTTGAAATTTGTTTATTTTTATCAAAAGGGAAAGGACAGCACGTTCTGGCCCACTTTAAAAATAAACTTAACTCAGTGATTTTTGTGCCCACCTTTTTCAAACTCGGATGCCTAAGAATTATATCTGTATTTATTTACTTACTACTTTTTCTGTACTAAATGCATATTTTAGAAGCAGAACTTGAGAAAATCGGCTTTCAAAACTGTTGTGATAATATTAACAGATCTTGGAAACATTACATGAAACCTGGGGAAGAGGCTAAATTAAATCAGTATCTTTCTTTCATAAAGAAAATGAAATTTAATAATGGAGCAATACTATCCCTTAGTCACCTCTTCCTCTTAATTTCAGCACAACTCTGCACAAAAGTACCCATAAGATGCTTCTGTTCCTCTCATCTGCCCTTGCACTGTCTATCAAGAAGCAAGATTCTGGCTTTTCAAAAAGGTTATAATATACTAAAACAGAATCTTTGTACATTGTGTGATCATATGAGTGAACAGAGTGAGCAGCTCAGTGGTCCTGGAAAAAAGCCAGACCATAACTTGTTGCACTTCAAAGTCTACAATTAAAAAAGCAATCATAAAAATCACTACAGACATGACTTCAGCAGACGTTAGACAACGTGGTAAGAAATACAAGCTACACTATGTACCAAGTGTTTTTTAACTGAAGAATCCAGAACCAAAAAAAGGGAGCAATGTAAATTACTTCTTATCCTAGTTACAGTTGTAATATTTAATGAGCCTTTATTCTGTTTCAGATGATTCCTTAAAATATGCTTATGTTTTAAATCTGTCGCCTGATACACTTTTGAAATCTCACATTTAGCCTTATTTCAGCTACACAGTATTCTGCACATAGTAATAGCTTTGTAAATATGCCAAACTTATCACCCAATACATCTATGCATTGTCAGGCATGATGTGCTAAGAAATACTGTCAGCTTTGCGGCTGTTACTCTCAAATCTGATTGCCTAAGTTTGGAGTCTAAATCTCTATTTAGGATTTTTCTTCTTCTTTACTGAAAAACGAGCCTGTTTTTCTGCAACATTCTATAAACAGAACTTGGATGGACACTGATAAGAGAGAAGGGTACTCAATACCCTTTTTAAAAGAAAAAAATCTTAATTTCACTGACAAAATGGAAATTCTAGTCTTTCAGGCATCCAGAGTAAAATATTTTGGTGTACATTACAACATATATGCTCTCAGCTGCCTTAAAATGCTACTGTATTTTTCAAATTCTTCTGAAGTGCAACTATTAAAGTTGACATATATATGATAATTAAGTGGAAATGAAGTTGCCAGATATATCACCTTCAGTATAAGAACAGAACTTCAGTAGAAGCCAGAGTAATTTAAAATGTAAAATAAAAACCAGAACACATGGGGCAGTTAAGAACACTAACTACTAAGAAATTCTATTTCAGCATTTTGTTCATTTGTTTTTAGGTTACAATTAAGCAGCAACAGCATACCTGTAGATGACTGGGAATTATGTCTCATCAGAATAAATGCGTTAATCCCAGTATACACCGAGTTTAAGACAAATATTTCATCCAGTGAAGTCTCTACAAAGTTTCATAAAGCACATTATAGTGCAAAGGTATCACATTTATTAGTGCACTGAACTGACCTTGAAAATAACTACTGCTTTGCTTCAACACTTTTCAGAAAAAGTCACTGTTGTCTCCCCTCAAACTCAACAAAGTAGGAGACCAGTATTCATCCTGTACATTGTATCTCTTGGATAGACCCGCATATTGGGATGTATTTTATACAGATGAAAACTGAAATAAGACTTCATGTAGTTGAAAACAAGGTTACTGTTAGCTTTTAACTTGAAATGTTTCACATAAATCTGACACTGTGTACGTACATTTCTTTAATTCTTTGTGATATTTTTTTACATTGTATGTCACGCCTACTGTGTAAGCCAAGAATCTTTCTGTTCTCATTTATTGTGCACGAAGTTTGTTTGTACAAAAATATAAAGCCTTGCCACAGTAATGGATGGAAGTACTGAAATAAACATTTATTTTGTTCTTTCACCATGACCCCAAACATCTGACCCAAAACCTTTTTTTATCCCATAAACTGGTTTGTCAATGATATGCAGTTAGCCCAATAAGAGGTATTACCTGAGACTTGGATCTGCCTTTTCTATTTGTAGAAGGGTGATGTCAAATATGCTCCAATTTCTGTCTCCATGCCTGTGATAGCTCT